TTAATTGTAAATTACATTCATTATTCAAGTACTTTGGGGAAGAAGTTACTCCAACCTTGAAGTAGTTTCATACCATAAATTGTGGAATATTAATCTATTGAGGAAAATATTATCCAAGAAGGTAAGTGGCCACATGTCTCTAATTCCCAAATAGCTGATTTGGCTGTGCAGTTTTTATTAGTTTCAGTATCATGAAATCTACCCATTTATTTCACCCAAAAGTTGATCTGCAGGCCAGTTAACTTGACGATATCCTAAAATGGACAAATTGACAGTAACTCATGCTTTGGTCCCCTCATGATTGGACTATTGCAGTCCACTCTACATGGGGCTGCCCTTGAAGATCACTTGGAAGCTGCATCTGGTCCAGAATGCATTGGCATAGGCAGTTACGGGCAAGCCATGGCGTGCTCATGTGACACCTCTGTTCCACTGGTTGTCTTAAAGGTTAACTCCTTGAGAGCCCTTCTTGGCACAGGCCCTTGTTATCTGCAGGACAACCTATCCTCCATAGTTTCTACCCAACCCACATGATCTGACAGAGTTGGCATGCTCTGGGTCCCATCAATTAAACAGTGTCATCCGGTGGGACCCAGGAAGTGGGCCTTCTCTGTCATGGTGCCTGTCATGTGGAACACCGTTCCTGAGATGTATACAGCCCCCACCCTGGCCCTATTTGTACAATGCTCTGATTTTTTAAAATGATAATTATTGTTTTTGTTTGTTTTGCATTTTTACTGTGTGTTTTGCAAACTGCCCACAGTCATAACAGATTGGGACAGTCTATATATTTCATAAATAAATAAATTCATTTATGTTAAATAACTCACATAGTGTATTATCCTTCTTTCTTCTCCCTTATTTCTCCTAGACTTCATCTCATTCTTATGGCAACTCAGCCCCAGCTGATACCGCCAGATCAGGCTGCTCAGCATCTCGAAGAATATGAAGTCATCACTGATGCAGATATAGAAGAGATTAAGGATGCTCTTGAAGAAGGGAGAATGGACAAAGCAGTTTCCAAGATTAGAGAAAATCTTGAGGCCCTGGAGAACATTTGCTTGGACATAGCAGTAACAGGAGAATCTGGCTCAGGGAAGTCCTCCTTTGTCAATGCCATTCGAGGGCTAGGAGATGAGGAAGTTGAGTCTGCCCCCACCGGGGTAGTGGAGACCACAAAGGAGGCCACACCTTACTCACACCCCAAGCACCCCAATGTCACTATATGGGATCTACCTGGAATTGGTACGCCAACATTCCAAGCCAGCACTTACCTGGAGCAGGTTGAATTCTCCCGCTACGACTTCTTCATCCTCATTGCCTCAGAACGCTTCAAGACCAGCCATGCCCAGTTGGCACAGGAAATTGGTCGCCTGGGCAAGCATTTCTATTTTGTGCGCTCCAAAGCGGATGCGGACCTAGAGGCCTCTAAAAAACGTCGGTCACAAACCTACAATGAGGAGGCTGTACTGGGACAGATCCGAGAAAATTGCCAGGAGTGCCTGCTGGCTGAGGGAGTGCCCAATTCCAGAGTTTTCCTCCTTTCCAACTGGGAGTTAGACAAATATGACTTCAAGATGCTGGAGGAAACCCTGGAGGAAGAATTGCCAAAACATAAGAGACATACTTTCCTCCTTGCCCTGCCAAACATTTCTCTATCCATCCTTCAGAAAAAGAAGGTGGCCTTACAGAAAGAGATCTGGAAGCTGGCTGCTGTCTCCTGTGGAGTAGCTGCTGTGCCTGTCCCAGGCCTCTCAGTCACCTGTGATGTAGCCATCTTACTTAACTACCTCTCAAAATACCGCAGCAACTTTGGTCTGGATGAGGAATCTCTCACCAGGTTGGCTAAGAAGGTCAACAAACCTGTGGAGGAGATCAAAGAGGTAATAAAGTCGCCACTTGCTAAAGAGATCTCCAAAGACCTAGTTCTGAAGCTCCTCACCAAAGCTGGTGGTGGTGCACTAATGTTTATAGAGTACTTGGTCAGCGCAGTGCCAGTATTTGGCTCCATAGCAGCTGGAGGGATCTCCTTTGGAACTACCTACTACATGCTCTGGAGCTGCCTGAATGAGGTGGCCAATGATGCTCAAAATGTCTTCATCAAAGCCTTTGAGTCTGAGGTCTGAAGGAATTCTTCAGGTCTTGTGGAGCAGACTGGGAATGAATGCTCAGTTTTAAATTAATATTAGGAGTACTGAATTGGATACTGTATTTTCACAAGCTCACAACTAAATTCACCAACTGGAACCGAGAAAAAAATGTAAAACACAAAACTTGGCCTTTTGCAATAACTTCCTTTTTATGATAGCTGAGAGATGGGGAAAAAAGTTCTTTATTTCCATTTATTGCCCCCCCCCCCAAAAAAAGTATGGTAGATTCTAGCATATAATTTCTCCACCATTGCAAAACTAGGCTTCCCAGTGTTCCTTGGGGAAAGACAAAAATGAAGTTGGTTTGAATTTGTAGAGTACAAATTGCCCTGTATTTGGCACATTCTGTAACTGAATTTGACCAGAGGCCTTCCTTTTTAATCTGTAGAATTAGACTTCCTTATTGTCCTAGTTAATTTTAATTGAAGCTGAAGTAATTTATCAAATAACAGGTTGGATGGCCCTAGATTAGGTTGAAAGTATTGTTTCAAGATCATAGTGAATTTTAAAGGTTCTCTCATTCAGTTGTTCAAAAGTAAAGGAACAAGCAGTCAAGAAATACGCCACAGACTAGCACTTGGTAGAGCAGCCAAGAATGCCTTGGAAAAGATACTGATATGTCTATACCTACAAAGTGCAGAATTGCGCAAGCCATGGTATTCCCTGTGACACTCTTGGAAGCAAAAGCTGGACTTTGAGTAAGCAGGAGTATTGACATTTTTTAACGTTGGCGCTGGAGAAGACTCTTGAGAATACCATGGACAGCCAAGAAAACAAACTGATGGATCATTGAACAAATTAATCCAGAGTTCTCACTCAAGGCACAAATGAACAAGCTCAAATTATCCTACCTCTGACATATTATGTAAAGATACAGTTCTCCAGAAAAGGTTCTAATGCTGGGAAAGATGGAAGGAAAGAGAAGAAGACCACGACCAGCAGCAAGGTGGATGGATTCAGCTAATGTGGCAACGGAGACCTGAAAGACCAGGTTGAGGACAGAGATCATGGAGAAAATCTATGTGTTCACTAGGAGTCAACAACAACTTGATGGCACATAATCAATCAATCAACCAATCATTCAATTGTACTTTAATTTTTCTTCTATACTGATACATGCTGCTCAGAGTCACATTTGTGTGTGTTGGGTGGCCATATAAATTTAAAGAAATAAATGAATAAACAAATACTTATTGTGTGTGAATGGTTAGAACGGTTGGAAGTTTTTATGGTTGAATCTATTGAATGGCATCTAATCATTCAGAAGTCACTCTTTCACTTCTAACGTGAGAAAGCTAGCTTATTTACTTTTTAATTCCCAGAAAGCTTTTTTACTTTAAATAGCAAATACAGTTTTTAAAACAGCAAGTTTGAATGAAAAGGAAATTCCTGTTGCTTTCAATTCTTGCAGCTGTAGGTTGATCCCAGAGATATTAACTCAAAAATTAAAAAATATTTGTTGCTTGCCAATAAAAGACTTGGTTTACATCAATTCATTTGGATACCATAACAAATTTGAATTTCCATTTGTTATGTGTTAGAACTCTGCAGTTCTTCAGATTTGATTCCAAAGCAATCCTTGGAGCATGGCTATAACGCTGTCTGAAACTGGAGAGTAAACACTTAAACACAAGTGTATACTTGTAGAAGTGGGCAGGCTTTGATTCAGAGATTTCAATTCAAAGCTGTTCAGTCAAATCAGCTTTGGATCGATGATTCAAGTTGAATCAAACTGACCTGAATCAACTCAAAGATCTATTCAAACTGATTTTTGAAACTGAATTGCCACCCTAATTGGATCAAATCTGATCTACAATCTAGATTGGACTAAATTATTGGAACCGGAGCCAATTTGCACACCCCAAATTGGGGGGGGGGAAATCCAATAGCAAAAAGAAGTGGGAAGACCCTGCAAGAATTCTTTTCAAGATTGTTCTCATCTTATGTGTAAAAACGATTTCAAAAACTGCTGTATCTTTGGAGGGTCACTCCAATACTGGCCAAGTGCAGATGGCAGACAGTCTAAAGGGCCTTCCCACACCTCCGTACCCGGCAATGATTTATTTTGTACGTATTTCAAAAATGCCATCAAAATTGAAGCTGCTTCAACAGTTTATTAAACAAGGACTAGCCATCCATGCAAAAAAGGAGGGGTCTGTCCAGTCTGCGGCAGAGACCAAGAAAAAGTAGGGAGAAATGGGGAGAAGGGACACAGGCTGGAATAGGGAGATTAGAGGCAGGATACATGTTCCGCAAAATGGAAGCATATATGAATGACACGCTAAAGTAGGATGCAGACTGCAAATACACAAACGTCAACTCCCCACTGACCTCGGGCCTCACCTGTCACTCCAGTGTAGAGGAATTTCATCATCCCCCCTCCCACTATGAAAATGCAGGTAATCTTGGTGTAACCCCTCATTCAAAGGACCCTGTAGCTCCGGAATGAGTTTTAGGACAGGAGAAGACATCAAGAGCTCTCCCATCTAGGTACATCGGTGGAAAAAATGGGCAAGATCCATTTTGAGCAGGAGGCAGAATGGTGATCCCCTGGGGACACAAAGCCAATCCTGCATTTCTCCTCAAATCTTGCCTGGCACCAACAGAGTGCAGCTCCCCTCTCTGGGAGACCCATCATCCTGTGCCTCGCCATGAGGGGGCAGATATCCCGGTCTGCTCCAGCTCAGGGATGGAGCTGCCTCTCAGCAGCTCCAGCATGGAGACAGTGTTCACGCCAGCAGCCGGCTGTACTCCGAGAGAGCGGAGGATTTCTTTACGCCATCCCAGATGCGCGCTGCATAGTGGAACCTGCCCGAGAGGGAAGAAAACCATGACTTAGAACAATGCGCACATGGTCAGAGTTATTCATTATGGTGTGAACCTTCATTGGCAAAGCCTATGGTGTCTGATGCGAGAAGTTGGGAGCACGCCTATTAGCTTCTTCCTTAAAGGTAAGAGCAGGATGATCGGATCTATGATGCCTCAGCAGCCACAAGTCCCACCTGCCTTAACTGCAGTTAAACACACTTACCAGTTCTTTTCTGTCAGGATGGTATGGGAGAGCTGAGGCCGGGACATGGACATCATCTGGCTCCGAAGCTTGGCAATCAGAGACTGGAAGCTGGGGTGTCCTTTGTACCCCGGAAGGAGGGAGAAGAGGGGGCCACTCCCTGGAGCTGTAAAGCGAAAGATCGGCTGATGGCTTCCCTTTTGGGGCACGGCAAACAAGGAGGCCCTTCTGAAAAGACTGTGAACCATTCCACAGGAACCTGGAAGCTACGGCCACCATCCCCACATCTTTAGCGAGTTTCCCCTTTTCTCAGGACACTGGTCCCTGCCCAATTCAATATGCAAATAAATGGAAGCCTCAGAATTCTATAAGGCCTCATATTGGGACAGAATGATATAACTCGTATTATTGAGCAGAAATCTGGCAGGGAAAAAAAATTGTCTCTTTCTCCCTGTTTCTCATCAGAATTGTCTATCAAGCACTTTTTCCTCCTTGGTAAAATGCAAGACTCAGTTCAGATTTCCTTTGTTTAGAAGAAAAGCAGCACACAGTGCAGGTACTGAATAAATGCATAGAAAAAACAAAAAAGCGGGAGTTGGGCCATCTCTTCTCCATCTTCTGCTCAACTCAACTTCAATAATGAAAGCAATTGTTCAAAATCAGGATATTCTAATTAGCTGGGTATCTTAAATTCAGGTTTGTCTTCTTTACATTTGGGACAAGATGTGTTCAAAATGTTTCAAGGTCAACATATGCCAAAACCAGAAGGTCTGGTTTACAGTGTATCCAAAGTGATCTGACCTCAGGATGGGTCTTATGTGGTTGGACCACCCTGTTTTTCAGTCTGAACGGAGGTTGGGATGTTTCACCCATGAAATGTTTTGCACATCTGCTCTATCTAGATCAGTGTTTCTCAACCCTGACAACTTTAAGATGCGTGGACGTCAACTTCCAGAATTCCCCAGCTGATGTGCAGAGTGCCTGCAACTAGTTCCGATGCCACAGCCAACCAGGAGCCCAGAAGACCTCTCTTTGCCTGCGCAATTCTGGTGGCCTGGTAGCCTCGGCCTTGCCTGGAGTGCCAGGAAGACAAGACTGTTTGGATATTGTGCCTTGTGTGCTCCATTCGGGGTGTCAAGATGGCAGCCACCACCATGCAACACATAAAAGGGTGGAGCTTTGATTGCATGGTGGTGGCCGCCATCTTGACTTTTTTAACCTCACCATCTCTGCGGACACCCCTGGCTGCCTCTCAGTAGTGGAGAACCTCAATTTGGGCAAGACTCTCTCAAACCGTGGGCCATTCTCTCTCAATCACTGCTCCCTTGTTAAGATGTTACTACCAGGAGTGGCAACCTTAGGGAAGTCCTCCAGAGGCTAGATAGTCCTCTGTCTAGAGCAGTGTTTCTCAACCTTGGCAGGGTTAAGATGTGTGGAGTTCAACTCCCAGGATCCCCCAGCCAGCTGGCTGGGGGCCAGCTGGCTGGTGGATCCTGAGAGTTGAACTCCACACATCTTAAACCTGCCAAGGTTGAGAAACACTGATCTAGATGTTTTATTTGGAGGGGAACCTGTCTGGAACAAGGAAACAGAGGAGCTTTGCATTCTGATCTACAGACAAGTAAAGGTTGGGAAGTGAATTCTCAGGACTCACTTGCTCTGGGTAGCACATCATCTGTATCGGAATCCATGAAGGGCAGTAAGAACAGGTTGACCTCTGTGTCCAGGTAGCTCTGCGGCAGGCCAGGGAATATGTTACACTCAAGCATGGAAAGAGTACCTAGTGGGGAAAAAGTAGAGCTTCAAAGCTTTCCTGTGTTTTGTCAGTCTGAGCCTTCCAGAAAAAGAGAATCCAAGCTTCTGTTAGCAAGGGGAGATGCTTTTCTCTTTTGGGGGAACAATCCCCTGCGATACATATTACTCCTCAGAACGCGAGCCTGTTGGACATTTCCTTGGAGTGGGCATGTTCGTCCTCCAAAGCTAATCTGCTTGTGAACCAATTCTACACATCGTCAAGCGCAAGAGCTTCTGAGCATTGAAGGACTGCCAGGAACAACTGTAGTCAACCGTTAGAAGCCCTACTCCCTTCTGATAGCTGTAGGTAGGAATTACACAAGAAATCCCTCCTGATGATTCTTAGCAAGTCGGCTGTCTTTACTAATGATTGATCAGCAATTTGATGTTAACAATAGTTTTAAACTGTTAAATCAATATACAATCTTTATACATATTATAGCACTAATGTTACTTGAAAACTCTTACACAGCTGGTAAATTTCTATTTCTTTTTTGTTCTTCCCTTTTCCTTGGTTGTGCTTTTAAATATCTGTTCAAATGTATGTATACATTTATATATAAATAATCTGCAATATTTTTTGAACACTTAACCATCATTCTAGCCTTTCACCCCCAAAGGCAAGATTTAACATAAAAAGGCAAATCGCAAAGCAAAATTCTAACACCAGAGTTATGATTTGTTCTTAAAATCAGCTTAATGAATACCCTTTGGAACAACACAAACTTTTTCAGGCACAGGTAGAGTTTTATGACTAGCAAAACACATTGTCTGAGACAATTTTGGAGCATCTAAACATTTCAGTTTATTGACAATATCACCATTGAAACAAAGTTCAATAATTTCTCTTTCTGTTTCAATAAAGGAAAACCCTAAGAGACTTAAGCCAAGAACCTTAGGTCAGAGACCTCTACTTGAAAAGGAAAATTAATTGTTAAGTATACATGTTCATTTTTATAACCTTTCCTTTTTACTATCCATGATGGTTCTTCCTGCACAATCAACATCATTGCATATAAGTAATTATGGTACCAAGATGCTCGAATGGGCTGCACACTGAAAGGTACATGAAACGGCATGGGGCCAGGGTATTTGAGGGACCGCCTCTTCCCGATTACATCTACCTGTCCCATCAGGTCAGACAGGAAGGATATGTTACAGGTCCTGTCTGCAAAGGAGTTCCATCTGACAGGACCCAGGAGGTGAGCTTTTTCTGCTGTAGCACCCACTCTTTGGAATATCACCCCCACCCCCCATCCGAGGTGAGATTAGCCCCGACCCTATTGACCTTCCAGAGATGTCTCAAGACATGTTTTGTCCAGCAGACCCTTGGGAACAGGGAGCCCATGAGATGGCTCCATTATGTCTTGAGTTTTCAAATGCTCTCCCATGTTTCTTGTTTTTAGTTATTTTAAAATGTGTCCTTACTGTTCTGTTTTTATTGTATGCTGCCCAGAGTCACATTCGTGAGATGGGTGGCTACATAAATTTGATAAATAAATAAATAAAAATAAAGGAAATCGATTAGCGAGACCATGTGATTTCTTTTTCCACCTGTTGGACTGCAACTCCCAGCATGCCTCATTACTGGCCATGCTGATCAGGGTTGAGATGGGATTTGGTGTTCAAGAACACCTTCAGAACTGGAGGTATACATGATAGAGAAAATAACGTTTTGTTCCACGTGTGGAGCGAGCACATTGTGGTTTCAGAATTTTGCAGGACCACTCTGGATGGGTCATAGTCCAGACAAACCAAAAGCTGGATTATTTCGGTTGTCCCAGGTTTCACCCAAGAAAAAAATCCAGTCTCTTCCAAAATGAACAGGACAAAGCGACTCATCCCTCCCCTCCTCGGCACGGCCCTGTCAATCTTCCCACACGCTTTCCTTTCCCGCGGCCACCAGTGAACTTGAATTCAAGCACAGCGTATCCAACCAAGCCCTCTCCTGGATATTCCCAGAGTTTCCCCCACCTTTGTTCCCACGCACTGATTCTGATGGCCTTGCCTTTTCCCTGCTGTCTCCCATCCCACGTTTCTGCCAGAAAACAGGTACTCCAGACCTGCCTCCAAATAAAAAAGTAGGCTCCAAATCCATGCCCAGCATGCTTTAATCCAGGCACAGCCCATCCAATACTGGCCGATCCATTCACGAAACATTTTGCACATCTTTATAAAAGTTCCATGTTGCCCAAGCCCATCCTAAGAACCGTAGATAGAAAGTCAGCACCATTTGCTTGCTTGCTTTTTGCAAGATGGTTTTCACATACAAGAGGATTTAGCACTGGATTCCTCCATTTGCCACAACAGAATCCTTGGCAGCACCTCATTTTTCTCACACGTACATCAAAGTCTGAGTTTCTCCACTACTCACTTGAATTGCATTCCCATTCAAGAACTGTAATCCAGCCCTCCAAGTGAATTGGAAAGCAAGCCATTACCTTTATATTTCAGGTGTGAGTGCATCATAATCTTGTCAATAACAAGATGCATCTGCTTCAGGTTCCGAGGGCAAAAGTTCTCTCTCTTGGCTTTGTTTTGGAGAAAAACTAGAGGTGGGGAGAGGGAAGAAAGAGTGAACATTCACAAGAATCATGAGTTCAGTGCCCTTGTTCTCTCAGCTCAGAACTTCATATAAATTCTTGCCTCCCACGGGCTGGAACTCAGCCAAGCGTACTGCTAAAAGGAATTTTTTTCTGATTTCCTAATAAAAAGTTCTTAGTTGAGTGAGTGTGCAACCTTCCCTGTGGGCAGGAAGATTCTGCACAAAGACCGTATCTAGAAATCTGCAAGTAAAGAAGTTTAACTCTCATCCAAGAAGAAAGAAAAAATATATGGAACGCAACTAGAAGACAGATGTCACAGGAGGATACTATAAAGAGGGACTTGTGGTGGCATCTTTCTGTTTGGCCTCTTGTAGTCTCACCGTTCCTCACAATTTTCTACCCCTGCCACCCACCACTTCCTGCCTTCCAGCCTAATGTCACCTCCACTGGAGACAGGACACTACAGTGGAGAAAGAGATGACTCATCGGGGCCAAAAATGTCATGCTTCCGTTCTTCCATACCAATGTGTGGGTAGTATTCTGTCCCCTCGTCGGAGCCAGAGGAGCTACTGGATTCATGGCTGGGGGATGGAGTGGAGGGTTTTACCATTTCAGCTGTCTGAAGGAACCTGCAATGGATAAGAAAATCCTTCAAGCAGTAGTAATCTCCCATTACTTAGTAAGAGGAATGATGACAGGATTTTTCTGATACACTTTCCTAATTTTGTTATACAATGTTAATCGTGTCAGGAGAGGTGATGGAGGGAAGACAGCTTTAAAGATGAGATATAAAAATTGAAGGTGGAAGGGGACACACAGATGTAACCCCACATATAGCAATATCCAGAAAGCACACCTCACTGGTTTCTATCTACTAGCTGGCATTCAATTTCCTCAAAGACATAGAAATGGAACTAAACCCATTATGGGTTTAACCCATAGAAATGGAACTAAACCAACTATATGCATATCAAGCTCTTCAAAATGTAGCAGTCTTGCTATTAGCAAGACACCCCAAAATACCTACATTCAGAGAGCTAATGTTTGAATGATATCTGTAGGTAAGGTTTGAGAATTCAGGTTTTAGTTTAAAAAAATAGATTATATCTCCAGCTGCTGGCTTAAGCAGCAGGAAAATGAATTGCTAACAGGCTTTGGACTTACACAGTTGGCTATAGTTCTTTGTTCACAATAGGGCTGGTTCCAACCAATCTCTCACCTGTATAGGCTCAAGTCAGTAAACCAGTCCTGCACCACAATGACCACATGGCAGACAGTGAAGAGGAAGGCAGCAATCTGGAGGGACTAGAAAGAAAGCAGCTTCAAGGGAGGAGAAAGGACCTTCAGGTACATGCCAAAAATCATGGAGATTCTGGGTCTGGAGCAGTGCTCACAAGAACAAAAGTTATCTTTGCTCCTGAATGATCATGATCATCATTTAGGGATGGTGAATTGACTGAAGGTGCAACCCAATAAAATGCAGATTAAAATGAAGGGAGACTGCAAGAAGGTTAAGAAAAGTAATGTAAGGAAATGAGGAAGACAGGATTATTATATGCACAAAGACGGAAGAGTAGAAATTCCCACAATGGAGGAATGGATTGTAAAAATGTCAGAACTAGCAGAAATGGCAAAACAGACCTGTTTGTTCAGGGAGAAAACAATAAGGGCTTTTTTAAAAGGCTGGGAACCTTTTATGGACTTTTTGCTAAAAAAAGAAAAAAGTGAAATGATAATTTATGGATGTAATGATTGAAACAGATGAGAATTAAATAAGGGACTGAAGGGATCTCTGGAAGAGTTGAGGGAGGGGAAACAATAGGTTTGTTAATATTTGTTGAAGAGAAGGTCGGAAGGAATTATATTTCATAACTTTAGGGTTTTTTTCCTTCTCTTTTTTTCTGTTCTTGCACGTCTTTCTTTCTTCTATTTTCTTCCTTTTCTATCTTTTTCTTTAGATTTGCTTTTTACTTTATGTAAATCATAGACAGACAGACCGACCGACCGAGACAGAGATATATAGATATATATAGATGAAATGAAGAAGACAGGTTTATTGTCCTGTGTTTTCCACCTTTCATATTCCTTCAGCAGCAAACACATTTGGAACAGGGCCCCCACCATTCTACAGGAAGGTTCACCCTGGTGCTTGCCTGAAGTGGAAGTGCTGTAGATATTCCCTACAACAACCTCTATCCCCTGGTCTATAAAAAATAAGACTGTGGCTGGTGTGGGTCTTCCGGGCTGTGTGGCCGTGTTTTGGAAACTTCCAGAACACAG